GCGAGGACAACAGCACGCTGGAGTTGCGGCCGGTGAGCAGTGGGGAGCGGAGGGAGGGGGAGAGTCAGAGTCGCGGGTCGATGGAGCGAGGCGCCGACGACAGCGAGGGGCGGCAGAGCCAGACGGCCGTGGCGCCCGCGGCCGTGGTCGTGCCGAGTGAGCCCCCGCCGCCTTATTCGCGGTGGGGGTGAGGTTTTGGTCGGTGTCGGAGTGTCCACGGTATAGAATTTCGGAAATTTCGTTGTATATAGTTCTTTACATACATATTTATAGATTTGCTTAGCGGGGTGGTGGGATAGATCATATTTATTTCTTCTGTTCGCGGGTCTGGCAGTAGGATGTAAATGTTATGGGATGGTGAGATGCCAGCATTGTCACTATCTTTATCTTTGGAGCGCATAGCGAATCAGTCTCCCTCGACCAACCATATCTAGAATCATAAATAGCAGGAAAGTCTTTCCGGATGCGTGATGGTTAGAGCTTGCTCGCAGCACCTCCCTCGCCGCAGTGGGAAGCCAGCCATCACCCGCTCAGCCAACGACCAGTCCAATGCCTCGCTCCCGCATCAAACACAGGTACTATCATCTAGTTGAGCACCGCGTTCACATCCGATTGACTTGAGAGCAGAGAGACATTTTCGGAGCAAGAACGATGTATGATTATTGGAAGCAGCTCGATTAAATCTTTGCACTATAGTACATACACACAACCTACTTATCTCACCCACAGCAACCACTCAGCATACTACAAGCGAGGGACAGCGCGACCGAGATAATACACCGCCCACCCATCACTCGACAACATGCCGCCATCTATCCATCCAGAAGAGACAAATCAAACGACAACAACCCCCCCAACCACAGCAGCAGCAGCAACAAGCATCCCGCCCACGCTCATCGACGCGCCCGCTGCCCCAGACATCGAAGTGGCCGACGCCGAGGCCGCGGAGCCACTGGCCGAGGCCGAGGACGAGCCGGTGGCTTTCGCCCCGGAGCTAGCAGCAGTCTGCACCCCGTACAGGCACATTAGCTTTCGTCAAGTAAGTAATACTGGGACGCATACCGAGTTCGCAACAGCCGTGGCGCTCGCTGCAGCCGACGAGGCGCTGGGCGTGGCGCTGTCGCCGCACGCTTCGGCCGCGGACTTGACGTCGTCGCCGTAGTACTGCCAGATGTTGTAGGTCAGGGCGCACTCCAGGCAGCCGCTGAGCTCGGTCTTGTACGTGGCGTTGGAGCAGTAGGTGGCGTTGGTGTCGTCCTGGAACATGAGGATGACCCCACCTGTGATTCTGGGTTAGGGATGTAGGGGGATGGTAGTGGTTGGATTGTGGGTTCAAGGCAGTGGCTTGATGCGCGGGGACGTACCGCAATCGGCGTGGCATTCGTAGAGCGGACTGCCGGGCGAGATGTCCTCCCTTCGAAACAGGGGGATGCTGGATGGGAAGCTCCATGCCAGGGTTGGGGTGAATACAGCTGCTAGGGCAGTCACGAATAGGATGAAGCGGTGCATTGTGAGGTTTCGGCTGTTTCTGATGGGGGGTGGTTGATTGAGAAGGAATGCGTGCGACGATGGCAGACACCAGATGGGGTAAGATTGGTTGTGTTGGGAACTCTGGGTATAGGGAAGCGTAGGATACAGGCCGCTTATATTCAACCTCAACAAGCTTGCTGCATCACGAACTCTCCACCCCGGGCGAGCTGGTAGGGACTGGTCGGACCACCTGCATCCGGATTCTTCCAGTACCCAGGCCCGCCGGGCAACCTCGCAAGTATCGCCCACTATAGCTCTAGCGGGAGGGCTAGCTCGATACCCTGTGTGATGCAGCCGGTGGGTTCGGTGGGCGAGATACTACAAGGATTGGCTATTCCACCGCATTCGATAAATTAATCACGCAGGCAACGGCGCTAAAAGTCAACTCCGCGCTGTAGGATCTGACTTTTTTTCCGATCCAAGTTCCTTTGTTATACTTATGGTGGTATCGTCTTTTACGTCATACCTTGTGTAGACTGAAAAAGTCTGGCGTCGGTGGTCGGAGTCATTTCGGCTTCGAAGGCCAGGACCGATAGCAGCGCATCATGCTGCTGGTGTTGGACTTGGAAATATTTATCCGGACTCCGTGGCTAGGACGAATCCTTCGTGCAGGTCAACGAGCGTCCGTGGTAAGGGTCTGTTAGTGCAGACAGAAGTGGTAAGGATCCTGGCAAAAGCTCGCGGGCGCTGGGATAAACCCCGGTGTGATGTAGTGACCGAGTCGTCGAGTGGGTTGCATGGAGCGGCACCAGCTGCCAACAATTGGTCAAGGTGCTAGCTCTCCGCTTGGCTAACAGCACCCAGCGCTGCCTAGGGTTCTTTTTGCCTTAATTCGAACACTTCTGGACTTGGCAGGACAGGAAATTCTTGCCAATAGTTGAAGTGCCGTGGTTGGGTCGGGCCCGTGGCTGCTGACGGCCCACTTATTATCTTATCAGATTGAAAATCCGAGCACGCTAGCAAATTTCGGTTCCCTCGTCCGATGCAGTGATTGGAACAAGTATTCGCGTGACCCATCTCTCAATTTGTCCTCGGACATAATTCTTGGATTGGGACAAGGATGTTTGTGGTCGGAAGGGAACGGAGTGACCAGGATCTTATCAATCTGATATGATCTGATGCCGGGCTTTCCTCTTCCGGTTGGTGTCTCCTGGCGAGGTGACACTGCAGGAGGGGTTCGGTGTTGTCATCTCCACTCTGCGGGACAGGTCAAGCCAGGGTTCGGTGGTCGGAACCTCACTGGGGAGTTCCGACCTGCACATGTCGTCTTGCAATCCACTGCGGATCTTTATCACATGGGTTTGCGAAGAGTTCTTCCAGCGAAGGTTGCAACCACTCCACCAGGGCCGTTGACGGGTGTAACGTTTTCGAGAAAGGGATACTATGGATGCCGATCCTATAAGACGGCCATGCGAGCCCGCTGGCTACGGTCACCAGCACAGCAATCCTTCTATTCCAGAAATCCCCTTCCTCTGAGCCTAGGGTTTGAGCATTTACCCCTCATCACCTGCCACCTTCACACACACTTTCGACAATGTCTCCCATCACCCTAATCACCGGGCTGCTTGCCACAGCCAGCCTCGTCATCCCTGGCACCCTCGCCGCAGAAGCCACGGACATGGGGGCCGCTGCGTTCTTGTGGCCACCAGACCGTGCCTGGGGCGCGGCGCAGGACCGCACTGCCCCCTGCGGTTCCTCAGCCGGCGTCACCAACCGAACCGAGTTCCCTCTCAGTATGCACTCTCAGACTATTACCAGCCATCACGAACCTCCAAACTAATTCATGCCCCAGCCAACGGCGCCGTCTCCCTAGTCCTCCAAACAGAATCCTACTCCGTCAACCTCGCCATCTCATATGACAACAGTACGCTCCCCTTTCCCCTCTCTCTCAAACCCCTCCCCTCCTTCCAAAGCACCAAATACTAACAACTCCTTCTACACAGACCCAACCAGCAACTCCGACTTCAGCACGATCGTCTCGAGCAGCAACTTCCCCGACCTCGACCCGGGCCACGAATGCTACTCCGTCCCCAACCCCCCCTCCACCATCACCACCGGCTCCAACGCCACCCTGCAGCTCAAGTACGTCTCCGACTTCGACAACGACGGCAACGAGACCTACTACGCCTGCGCCGATATCACCTACGTGCCGCTTGCCTCCTTCGACACTTCCATCCCCTGCTTCAACGTCTCGGAGGCGACCTCGACTGACTCGTCCTCGTCCTCGTCTTCCTCTTCCTCGTCGTCGAGCACATCCTCCGATTCCTCCTCGTCGTCGTCGAGCAGTGGTAACAGCGCATCCAGCGGCCTCTCCAAGGGCGCCATCGCAGGAATCGTAGTCGGGACGGTGGTCGGCGCCGCGCTGGTCGGCGTGGCTGCCTTCTTGCTGGGACGGTACTGGCAGAAGAAGGCCCAGCGGGAGCACGCGGTCGCGATGAATATGATGAACCCCGTGCAGAAGACGTGGTCGGCTTCGACAGCGGGACGGCAGGGGGCTCAGGCTTGAGGGTTGGGACGTGATTTATGTTTAACTGAATGAATGTGCGATGCTTATGTTGATGGTGGTGTGGTGAGGGGTTTGGGATTGGTGGGGTGGGAAGGATAGGTACAGTGCCTAGTGCTGATGTGGAGGTAATTGATGAATAAATGATACGAGTTGACGAGGTCAATGTGTCGATTCTGAAAACTCATTCAACGATACTATGTTCGAGCTCTAGGATCAGAAACATTGGCTACACGCTTTCTGGGACCTTCCTCTTCTTTCCCCTGGTACATGATCACAGACCGAGGCAGTCTTCCCGCTTGCTTGGGAGCCTTAAGCCTATCGGAATATGAACTCACAAAGTACTTGCTCACATTCTAGTGATAGTAAGGCCCAGGGAAAGGCCGAGAGTAGATGATTTTGAGTAGCCGATAAGTAAACGTACACACACAGTAACATGTCCTAATTGTGTGGAGTAGGTCTACACAAGTGCACCAGCTTCACGCATTTTCGGCGTACCAAGTCATTGGGGATTATTCCCCAAAAACGTTCTTCCATGCAGACACTGATGGGATATACATATAGCCAGATCTGTATGAAGTTTGATTGACTAGGTCACGAAGGAAAGTATCAATAATAACACACACACCAGACAATGATAGATATCATACAACCACTTCAATAAGAACCCATACCTCAGGGATTGTAGTGTTTTCGGAGTGATCAAGTCGGGTCACTGTACCCGGGATTCCTGATGACAAAAGGAGTGGATTTAACGCGAGTTGCGCCTCTGAATGATCCTCACATAATCGAGAACATTTCTTCACCTGTATTACCTACATGCCCAAACTTCAGAGACATTTAGATGAAGATAGATGCCGTACTGAATATGTTCCTGCACGCGAACCCTTAGCATATCCACCATAGCCGAACCCGACAGACTGGTCTGCTCTTCTATATTTGCACAAAATAAATCTCATGGGATTACCATTAGTCTTTCAAAGATATAAATACAAGTTTATTGGCTCATCTGAAAAGTCGCCGTACACGCCATGCTTGAATCGAAAGTATATATATAAGGATCGTAAAGAGGTGGTTAGAAGAGGTTTAAGGGGGGGCGGGGGAAATCCCCCTGGGTGATGAAAAATAAAGGAGGGTGGGTAGTGACGGTCCACTTCATCCTCGCCTAGAAGAAGCTGAAAAGAATCGCCGCGCTCAGGGCAGCAAGGGAAGAGCCTTGGACGTACGAGGATGAGCTCGCGACGCTGCTGGAGGTCGTTCCCTCGCTGAAGCTGGTGCTGGTGGAGGAGCCGGAGCTGGACTCGGAGGTGCCGTTGCTGCTGGTGGTGGCGGTCGTCTGCTTGCCGGCGGTCATGTTGAGGCCCGTGTCCTCGAGGTTGTAGAGGACGGTGCTGTTGCCGGACACGAGGATCTGGTCCGACAGGCCGGTGTCGCTGGTGTAGACGTAGGACACGTCGCCGTCGACGGTGGTGCCCTCGGGCGGGTTGTAGCATTCGATGGTGATGTCCTTGTACAGCGCGTAGTAGTAGCCGTACTCCTCCATGTCGGCGCTGTTCCAGTCCACCAGGCCACCGCCCCACTCGATCGTCCCCTCGCCCTCGCTGCTCAGCCCGCTGGGCCACAGCGACATCTGCAGCCGCGACGGCGTCTGCGGGTACATGTAGATCCCGGAGGTGGCGTTGTACGTCGAGTTCTTGGTCAGCGTGCGCATCGTCACCCCGTCCACCTGCCACTCCAGCTGCTCCGGCGTCCAGTCGATCGTGTACGTGTGCCAGGTGTTGTAGGTGTTGCCGGTGGAGACGGCGGCGTTGACCTCGTTGGTGTCTGCGGGGAATGAAAGAAGTTGGAGTTAGCGCGTGTCACAGCCCATTCACGCAAAAGAGACAACACGTACAGTTCTCAACGCCCTGGAAGTAGAAGTCGGTCTGCACACTCGACAGGTTGTACCCCACAAACTCGAAGTCGATCTCGTCCTTCACGTCGGACATGAGGATAAACCCGGTGATGACCCCCCCGCCGCGACTGCTCTTGATCTTGGCTGACACCTTGCCGTACCAGATGTAGTGATTCAGCGTCATCAGACTGCCCGTCGTCTGGTTGGGCATCGTGAGCATCAGACTGCCGTTCTCGACCTTGGGGTATCCGCTCCAGCTCCATTCGTACTGCGACGAGTTTCCGAGGTACTGGTCGTACGCCACCGTGTCGTCGAGGTTGCTCCAGCTGTAGGTCTGGTTCTTGCAGATGGGCTCCGGCGTGCACGAGTCGAGCGAGTACGACATCAGGGGGTCGCAGGTGCCCAGACATGAGGTTCCGACACCACATACTCCGCCTGCGGATGGTTGTTAGCGTGGTGGGGGAAAGATGAAGTGGTTGTCAACTCACTATAGCAGCAGGGTGCGCTCTCGGGGCACTTGTTGTCGGCACTACAGGTGGTGGAGGCCGAAGCAAGTGCGGCCAGACCGGCCAGGAACAGCGTGGAGACGTGGCGCATCGTTACAGAGGCGACACTGCGTGCAACCGACTGTTCTATGCAAGGAAGAGTTGGTGAAAGGGGGAGGAGGACTCTTGAAACCGCTGCAACGTTTCACTTCTGAAAACGGTGCCGGGGGGGCGGGGAAATCCATTATAATTATACGCTCTTGGGGGGGGGACGAATGTCCACATGACATCAAATCCACTGGGGTCAGCGAACCAAGGAGGAAGCAGGAAAGGGGGGAACGTGTGGGACAAATGGGGCAAGAAATCAGTCAAAATCTTCCTCGGGGACCTTGGGCCGAGCACGGAATTATCGGGGGGAAAGGCAAGCCGGCAGTCGGACGGTAACTCGTTCTGTCGGAGTTGGCTGTGCAATGAGAAAACTAAACCAGTATCGTGCGATAGATAGCAGATCCAAGGATGGGAACACTGGAACACTGACAGCGGGTACGAGAAGCGTGGGATAGGGCTAGCGGAGAGGAGGAAATCCCTCCTCCCCATTGGCCAACTGGATCTGCGAGATAACAGAGAATGAGAAACATCTCCACCGCAAGAGGAAGAAAATTCTGCAGTCGATAGGTTATTGGTTCTACAGGCGTTCCTGTGGTTCAAGCAGAGCTCCAGCGAGGTGGACCATCAGCCTAACCATGGCGATGCAGGCAGCGATATTAACGATTGGAAGTGGGATGCGAGCGAACCCAGCCAAGCTTTGCTAGCGTTGGGACTATCTCAGGGGCATTGCGTGTCCTGCCATGGCCATTCCAGCACGGCACACGAATCAGACTGATCGACACCACCCCGGCACTGTGAATCAGCATTCAGTCAATTGTGTTGATAACAATTGGAAAGGTAGGTTTCTGCGAAATTGCAACTGACCTAAAGCAGCAAAAACCCCATCCTACAGTTGTCAGCTTCATAGGGGTAGTTGTGCTGAAGTGTGGTTGTGCCAAGCCATCTATCAAAAACACAGAATTTTCTCAAGTGGGTCGATGACGTAGCCCCTTTTCTGGTCTTTTCTGGCGCACTTTGGGTGAATGTCTTACTTGGCTCTGAAACACCGCCTTCTCTCCTTGTCTTGCTGCTCAGACCATCGTGTTTCTCGAGTCCTGTGCGTACATTTCTCCAATTCTTGCTGATAAGGATCCGCAAATACCTCGGCTCCCCCCGCGCCACATATTCCGGTCTCGTGCACCATTTGTTTCCTGGTTCATACCCCAAACATGCTCAGGATAGGTGCGCATAATTGCAATTGATTGCTGCGAATGCCTTATTGATAAATCTTTTCCTGGAATAGACTCTAAAGTCGTCCTTCGGTTCGTTCGAAAGTGATATCTCCAAAGCTTAGCCAAAGCTTGTTCCTACCATCTCCGAGGGATTTCTCTCCGTGACCCCTTCGGCGCCCTCGGCTCACTTCAGAGTATAGTTATGAGTGCGAACCTGGAAGACATCTGTCCAAATGTTGAGCGAAGTGAACTAACGGGCGATGCCAAATTGATAATGAATGAGTCATGTTGAGACCACCATGTGGCTCGAGTCTTCTTAGACACAAGAGACAAGAAGCCGGCGCGACTAACACACTTGTCGCTAACAAGTGGAACTCAGTAGGCACCTTCAACAATGGTAGATTCACTATGCATCCTAGTTCAAGGCTTGTCTCAGACTCACCCACAGTTCGCTTGATGGTCACCTTTTCTTCGCTTAAGGATAAATCCGGGAGGCCGATCGACCTGCCCGATGGTGTTCTCGGAGAAACCGCTCAAAAAACCACTCCCACACCACATGATCCCAGTTTGCATGGTCGGAACACAACTCTCCCGCTTGCATCTGACTCTCCAGAGACTGCATTGCGCGCATAGCGGGATCAGCCATCAGTCGATCACCGAGCTACCCCTAAGCGATCAGCCCGGAGACACATAGCTGCGATTGCACTAAATATACCCTGAGGTCCCTTGGGACTATTGAATTGCACGATGCAAATAGCATAAGTAGCTTCGGGGTTATTGCACTAGTCCACTGGCGCCAGTGAATGTCTTAAATACTTTAAAGCGCCCATGATTAGCTGCTGCGAACATATCTATATATGGATGGTGTACTGAATAAGACATTTTTCATGGATAGTCGGAGATTAGTTTAGGGGAATTACCCCTCGGGGTTGACTGCCTAGAGTGGATTACGATTACTAATCTCCGGATCGACCGATCAAATCTCCAGGCGCTGTTAAGGGGACAGGGGCTTACAGCCAGCGAACCATTCGAAGCTATCCAGTGGCTTGGAATTATTCTTCGCGCAGAAAAGGAAGATTGACAAGCCGACAAGGCATGGGAACTGAAGTGAAGCGAAAAGCAGGACACCACACCTCTTCTGATTGTGAACCTCTTGAAGAGAAACGTTGAGAATCTTCACCCGATTCATGATCGACGATCGCAAATTAAAGACATGCATTCGTTGATCCGGAAGATATATTTACAGGGGGGATGAATACGAAGTCGGTCATTCAAGGAAATGTGCAAGGCGCAGGAACTGACTGCAGTGACAGCGCGAACACGGAAAAGGAGTCGGCTAATCCGGGGATCCGACTCGCGCTTGTCCGCCGATGTCCCAATTTATCTTCCTGGCATATTCTAGCCTCCACGCGTGGCTTGGAGGCTTTGGTGGTAGGACTGCCAATCGAAATTAAGCTGATTTCTTTGGAAATTCTCTCCCCCGCACTCATCTCATCTTAAACCCCCTCCTTGACACCCGATAGGTCAGTACCGGTCGCGAGGGCTGATGGCATACAGAACCTCAGTTAGAAGACAACCATCGTCGCTCAGATCTGCCCCTAACAAGGAACTGCTTCACCGGAACTAGGCTCTGTTTGGGTTGGCCAGTAATCTTCCAAGCGCCTACGATTGTGGCCCATCAGAAAGGATCCTCGCGATGTGACATCTACTGCCTGTTGCGAAGAAGCATTCGTATGTGTCGGAGATGATAGTGCAACACGCAGCCTGAAGGACCATGGGTCAAAGAAGTATATGGCGTCCGCTTTTTACATGGTTGACACGCCACTGGCGAGTTGGTCATTCGAATACGTTTCGAGGGATGAGTTACAGCGTGGCTGTGTGAATGCGAAGCAATTCGATTCATCAATTCACATCTCACGTATCACGAGAACAAGGACAACTCCTCGGGTGGCATCTCCAAGATCTTTGCCCCGCGTCGACACCACCCATCCGGACCTCGTTCTCCTGGCTATGTCTGACAGACGTCAGACTGGACAAAAGTACTGTACAGCACATGCAGTAATTATACGAATGCGGGGGGCTATGCTGCATAAGGGCTGCAGATCCGCGGCGTGAATGCTGCCCAATGCGCCTTCCCTTTCGAACTTCAACCCAGTCTGCCATCTTGAACGCTTCGGTGGTTCGCAAAGTCTGACTAAATACCCCCTCCTCCTCCTCCTCCTCATCGTCATCATCTTGTGAGAGCAGGATGGAAACCAGGAAGAAACGCCTATCACATAATGCATATACAGTCGCGCTCCTCGCTCCGCTGGAAGTTGAGCTCAGCGCAGTGAGGTACATGCTCGACGAAGAACACGAGCAGCTTCCGGCGACGAAAGGTGACCCAAACCGCTACGTCCTTGGACAACTGAGCCAGCATAATGTGGCTATCGCATCCTTGCCTGCCGGCTACCAAGGCACCATCTCGGCCGCAATCGTCGCACGAGATCTAGCAGCACCTTCAAGTCGGTAGAGCTGCGACTGCTCGTGGGCATTGGAGGCGGCGTACCTAGTTCTATTGTCGATGTTCGCCTGGGAGACGTGGTGGTCAGCGTCCCATCCGGCACGCAGGGTGGTGTTGTGCAATACGACTTGGGAAAGCAGACTACGACCGGGTTTCAACGCAAAGGTTTCTTATGCCCTCCTCCCAACGAGTGGCTAGCGACCGTCCCGCAAATTCGGTCGGATCATCTTGTGCGGTCCAAACCTAGTTTCTAAACATATTGGGGACATGCTGGAGCGGTATCCCGCACTTTCCAAGTACAAGCGACCGTCGTCTGACCTGGATGTTCTGTTCAAGTCTGAGTACGACCATCAATTCAACAAACCCACTTGCCAGTCTTGCGATAGACAAAATGAGGTTCTCCGACCCGAACGTAGCGATCCAAAACAGCCCGTCATCCACTACGGAGTCATTGCATCAGGCGACCGCGTCATGAAAAATGCGAGGGAGCGGGACATGATCAGCGGGAGTGTCGAGGGCGCCATCTGCTTTGAAATGGAGGCAGCAGGACTCATGAATGATTTCCGGTGCATTGTCATTCGCGGGATTTCTGATTATGCAGACTCGCACAAGAACGATGTATGGCATCCTTATGCCGCCGCCGCTGCTGCCGCCGTCGCCAAGGAGCTACTATCGTATCTCGAAGCATCAAAGAGTAGGTGAAGCATACGTATGTCCATGGTCACGTCACAGAATTGCTGATTAGAGATTTCGCAGCTACCGTTTAATTATCTCCGGTGGCCGCTGCCCTAGAAGCCTTCCACACTGAAGGAAGGCGCCTTGCGATTCAACGCATTTCCGGCCAGCCACTCCCAATGAGCCACTGTTTCATCAACCTGGCAGTGGTGAAGCGCTCACAACACGTCAGCAAGCGTCAAAATTTCTTCTCACTTCAGTCACGCCTCAGAGTGCAAGAAGATGACCAGGAAGAAGTGATCACCTTACCGGCACTTTTCGAGCCATGGTCCCGGCCCGAACGACCGTTCGAGACACCTCCGAAGCCGAAACGCATTCTGACCGAAGGACGGGCTGGGGTAGGAAAATCGACGCTCTGCAAAAAGATTTTTTTTCGAACACATTCACCATCACCTGTGGAAGGACCTTTTCGATTGAGTCTTCTGGGTTCCTTTGCGGAACCTGAGACGAAAATCACAAACGATGACTGCAAATAATATGGAAAACATGTTCTACGAGGAATATTTCTCACAGCAGCCTGATGGCAAAGCACAGGCTCACGCTTTATGGCTGACTGTCAATGAACCTTGCGTCTGTGAAAGGGTGCTTTTCATCCCGGATGGCCTCGACGAGGTCTCGCGGTAATGGGACATGGGCACGCCGATGCACGAGTTTGTGTCCCATCTTTAAGAGCAGCCACAAGTCATCATTACGACGAGACCTCGCCCGTCTGATCATATTGATATCGAGGCCGTTGATCTGGAGCTGGAGGCTATTGAATTCCGCTCCAAGCAGGTGAAGGAATACGTTCGCAACACAGAGATAGTGCCGGACATCGGCGTTTCAAGAGAGATTGAGTCTTTCTAAAGGATCACGCTCTGCTGCAAAGCCTTGTCCAAATTCCGATCCAGCTAGACGCATTGTGCTACAGCTGGGAGCGAGATATTTGGGGCGACAGACCGCAGACAATGACCAGTCTCTATCAATCAATCGTCTCAAAGATCTGGAGAAAGGATATCCTACAGCTAGGTATCCGAGACGATCAAGGGCACCGGCTCACGGAAGGAGCAGTAGAAGACATCCACCAGCTCGACATTGAAAATTACGTTGCGAAGGAAATTAACCTCATCGAGGGCCTTGCATTTCATGGACTTGCTAATGATACAATTGAATTTCAAGAAGAAGACCGAGCATCTATATGCAGACTATTAAAACGGCATGAGGAAGAGCTCCCACGTATGAGCGAACGTGTACTCCGCAAAGTATCATTCTTGCGCACATCGGAAGACAATGCTCACAATAGCCGACACAGCTTCCACTTTCTGCATCTGACCTTCCAAGAGTACTTCGCGGCACGTTATTTTGTCAGGCACTGGATACGCGACAAGCCTCTTCCCTGTTACTGTCTGACAAGAAAGGACCCTCCAACAATACCACCTCGCCTCTTTCTGCAGACAGAAAAGTATAATGCACACTATAATAATTCTGGCGCTTCGTTGTGGGTCTGTTGCAGGACTGTTGGCAGCCCAAGGCGTCGAATGGGGAGTTGGTCAGAGGGATCTTTCAACAATTCGAAGCTGAACCACGCGACTTGGTCGGAGCAGCGCACCAGAGCCTTATAATGCATTGCCTCAGTGAGCTAGCTGTGGGCAGCAGCGATTCTGCCATCCCAGCGATAATATCCCAATTCGAAGATAATCTACTGCAATGGGAATTACTCAAGTGCAAATCTCACTTGGTCCCTCCGCTTATTTCTGACCCAGAGTGCCCAGCCCGCGTGATAGTAGCACTCTTCAGCCCTGAGTATGAACAGTACCATGAACTAGTTCTCGAGACACTACAGTCAGGCAAAAGGGAACTACCTGTAGAGGCTCTCAGATCCACAGTTCGGTTGCTTGAGCAATCCAACCGTGTACAAGTAAGGCCTTTGGCGACAGAAGTGCTCACACAGAGCCAGGGACCTATTCCACAGGATATTGAGTATATCCTAGTCCGGATTCTTCGAAATAACCGTGTCGAAATGAGAAAGGCAGTCGCCGAGGGTTTGCTCCGAGGGAGATATCTTTCCGAAAGCACCGTTCACGATATTGCGCTGCTGCTCGAGCATTGCGAATCAGATCTCCGGCATACTCTCATGCGTGCAACGGCCCCAGTGAAGCACCTACCCGAAAGAATTGTGGAAGCTCTGTTACAGTTCATCAACGACGAGCAGTTCATCGGCGAATGTGGGCCACTGGCGCTGTTTTCAGGATCACAGGACAGACTTTTCGCAAAAAGATTCCCTGTCTAAGTACGGTCTCCGCTGGGCCGCCGGCACTGTTTCTCGCGCCCCAGGACAATTTTTCAGCAAACGCGATTAGCTGCCTAAGTGCGTTCCTAGAGGATGAACGGACCCTCATCAGATACAGAGCAGCTAGAGCCTTGGAGGTCAAGAACACAGTGCTCCCGTGCTGGGTCTACCAAGGATTGGTAAATCTCCTTGCGGACAACGCTGATTATGTGCGGCGTGCCGCATACGACTCGCTGTGCTGTCAACAAAGTCTCCCGGAGCAGATTTTGCACACTTCGATTCCCTTGCTTAGTGTCGAAGCAAAGTCTGAAAATCGGCTCGGCAACGAAAATGCCCATAACATATCTACCATCTTTGGGAATCAAACGGTTCTTCCAGACGGTGTCAGACAATCTGTTGGCCGCCTTCTCAAGGCAAGAAGCTTCTATACAAGGCTTGTCGCGGGCTGGGCCCTGGCACCTCAAATTGGTCTCGTGGACGCAATGATGGGTGACATAGCACTGCTTCTCGAGCAAGATAATCTGCCTCTGAGAAAAATAACAATAAACAAGCTTCTAGGACCGAAGCACTTCCGGGACAGACTTCTCAGATTCCTGCGTGTGAAACTGAAAAGTCCTGACGTCGATGTGAGGAGTTCCGCCGCAGCGTGGTTGGGCCACCTCGCTCCGCTTCCCCATTTGATTTGATAGTCTGCCTTCAAGATGAGAAGCCACTACCTATAGCGAGCCTGTTGCTAGTAAGACACTCAGTGCTCCCGGATCAAGTCCTCCAAGGATTGCATGCCCTGTTGATGGGTGCAGACAGCAGGATGCGTGACTATGCGAGCTGGGCTTTGCTTAGACAACGGCACCTGTCGTGGGAAATGCTTCGTTTGCTGTTATACACACTGGTGAACCACGAAGAAAATCATCCCACTGCTGCAACGAAGGTACTTGCAAAGCAGGAGTGTGTTCCCAATGACATTATCGCTGCGCTGGTCCTGCTGCTCAAACATGTGCGACCTGTGTTAAGGATTCAGGCTGCGTTTGTTCTGGTCCAACAGCCGCGACTCGAGGAGAACATACTTCACGATCTGGCTTTGCTTGTGTGCGCCTCCGAGTCTAGAGTGTCGTACGAAGACGACCCCTACACTGCGGCAGCCAATAAGGGGAGAACGATCCGATCTGCCCAGCAGAACGGTCCAAGCACTTGTCACTCGCCTAGAAAACCATCCCAACCCGCGCGTTTGGAATCTCCTGCATAATCAAGACAGCTTCTACGCTCTGCTTCCAGACCTGGGCCGCAGAGAATTATTAATCATATTCATCCGATGGATCTCAACCGCCTTTCACCATCAGATCTGTTGTTCTATGTGCGAGGGCTACTTGGTCATCGACGGCCCGAAAGGGAGGTTCAGGGCTGCCTTCGCGACCGCCCAGCATAGGGGGCAGTTTCTGCAGGCCTTGTGAAACGCGCACGCATACGTTGGCCTCTTCTATGCCAAGACACGGTCATACTCGCCGGTATTGGAACACGCATCGGAGGTGGAAACCGGCGGCACGAGAGGTACCACATTGCTGGACAGGTTCAGGGGCATAAGGCGAGCTATTCTGTTTAGGTAAGGTTAGGGCGGCGTGCAGCCCTGGTTTTTGCGGAAGGCATTTTCGCGGTATATGCAAGGCTCGTTGTAGTTATCGAGGACTTGACCGGGGGATCATCCAGTACGATCTCTAACTTATTCTTCGCAAAGGAGTCATATTCTCGGTAAGACTGCTGCCAAGGGTACTCATTCAATCATTGTCTTATTCCTTGTTGTCTCCAGTGAGAGGGATACTGCGATTCTCGCTCAAATGCATCAATCCCTCGAAGCCATCGGCTGCGTATTAAATCTGATGGGAGCGTCATCCGGGCTGATAACCTAATGGAACCGTGAAGATGGTGGTCGGATTCCAGGTTATCTAGGGGGAACTATCTATACGCGGCCGAAGTGGTAATGTGTCCAGCGAATTGGAGGGGGCCTGGGACTCGGTCAAAAATCTCCAATCAATTGGTCTGTCATTTAATCGACTCTGCGCGAGTTGAATCAAGGGGGCAAGGTATTCGCACCTTCGGCTCGGTCAAAGTATTATGGAATCCACTGATATGTATTCCAAAAGCAGGAACTTACAGCCATACATACCTGGGTTACAAGAATCCAGCCCGGAACGCAAATGCTGTCATCCAAATCCCCTGTTTGTCTAGTTTGCACCCTCCTGCCCCCACTTTGAGGAAAATTCCATTGCATGATTTTGGCATGAACAACATGCAGAGATCCCAAATTCGGAGTTTTTACGACTGTACTGTACTTTATCTATACTTCAGCCCCGAAATGCATCCTCTCAACCGACTTCACAAACCACAAGCCATCCTGCCCACCATGATCCCCAGAGTGAGCTAGTACACAAACAACCCCCCGGTGAACCCCACTCAACCTCGAACTCCAGTCAGATCCATGATCATGGATTACATAAAGCCCTTGCGCCCCCACAGGCCCAACAATGGCGTCAACCAATCTCGCCCGCCCGAAAACCAACCCAGGTTTTGACATCGTAACCCATTGAGCCTCAGTTGAACCACCACATACACCCAACACCCTGGATTTCTAGACTAGACCCCTCTCCGCTCCAGACAAGATGCCCGACAAGGACGCAGGTACCCCGCGGGTCTTCCTCTACCGCCACGGTAAGTTCATCGCCCCGCTGGGCATAACCCCC